CGTATGATGTCCTGGACAAATTTCCTAGAATTGCCGCCGAATATTCATTGGGGAGAGGTATGTATTTCAACTGAATATATAAAATACCTGAGGTTATATTTTGTACTTCAATTCAATCTCGTGTATAGAAAAAAAAGTCTCGCCTTTCTCGCCTTGCATTTACTTGGCAAGATTCTGGCGAGTCTTTTGATATTTGTATTTTTCTTTAAACGACAAATTTCCTGCATAAATATTAAGCTACAGTAATACTTTTCTAGTTGCGAAATGTGGCAACTGGATCGTGTTTGGACACTATGGGTCATGCACCTCCAAGTCTTATGGCTACTTCTCACTGTCATGGATTTGGAAACAATCAGGTAATTCCTTACTATATATTTTATTTTTCACATGCCTCACAGCTTGAATAATTTTGTATTTTACATTTAATGTTATGTTTCTTGCTAGCTTCTGAGACTCAATACAAAAGGTCAATTAGGCGTCGGTGAGAGATGTGTTGAAGCGGACGGTCAAGGTGTAAAGTACGCATTTTGTCGTCTAGGAACTGCGGACGGTCCATGGCAATATGACGAAGTAAATCTATTGTTTTTTTTGTCGCAAATTTTAAAGATGGGTACACGAGAATTATAATGTGTATTGATTTTTCAGAAAACGAAGACTCTATTGCATAGAGTACATAAGAGATGTATGGCGCTCCATCCCCAAACTCAACAATTATCTCTGATGCCGTGTGACATAAACAATACGTATCAGCAATGGACTTTTCATCAAGTCCATCCACGATGGTAAAAGACAGATGGTAGTGGAAGGTATGGAAAAGAAAGATTAAATTTTTTTCCTTTTTCAATTTGCAAATAGTGATTTGCAATGCGCGATAGATATGCGGAAAACGTAAAAGTTATCTTTAATAATGTACAGTGCAGAATAGTTTGGTATACATATATTTGTGACTAATTTATTATCTATTATTACGTGATACAAGTAGGTAATAATTACAAAATTGATTTTTATGGTATGTGAACGAATATTCAAAAGCAATGTTGGATTTAATAATTATTAAGATATATGAAAGTAAGACATTTATATTATGAAGCGCAAAAAAACTAATTTTAAATTTTATTTATTCTTATAGTAATTTTTGAAGATTTATAATGGTTAAGAATGTATATGAAATTTTTCTAGTGAAATTTTATCGCTTTTTAAACATACTACTTTTTCCTTACACCGACTGATAACCAGCTATAAGAAGAAATAGTTTAACAACATATATTTATGTATGTAAAAGAGAAATGAGAAAGATTTCGAAAGATGAATCTGCCCAGTGCTACTGCCAAGATTTCTTCCTGAAATATTTCTAGAAATTGGTTTGTTAAAATTTCGATTAAAATATATATCGTTGTGACAATATCTTAAGCTCTGGAGAAAAATTAATGTGTTTTTATATGTATCCTTGTGGGATTATGATATTGCACATCAACGTGAAATAGAGAAAATATAGAGAAAATTTATACCTATTTCTAAATATGTTGTAATCTATGTGGATCTGCGTGAATTTTATATGGGAATGTGTGTAAAGGTTTATAGATATAAAAGATATATATATATATATATATATATATCTTTTATATCTATAAACCTTTACGAAAGTATGTTTATATATATATATGTGTACATTCCAAAAGGTTGAAGTACTTATTACATAATATCCGTGTAACATTTTTATTTTTGTATCAATGGATACAACAAAAATTCTTCATTGCTATTGATTAGGATGTAAATTATGTAAAATCCTTTTTGCATTTTTAATCATGAGTGCAATATGAGTCTAATTCTACGCGTTATTAAAATAATATGATTATTACAGGGTTTTGATAAAGATAAAAGAGATTGTTCTATTAAAATTTCTATGTCTTATATAAATTTTTCTACTTATAATTAGCATAAATTTTATACTAATCTTTGTCTTAATGATAAGTAATCCATTAAATTTTTTATATTGAGACTTCCACTATTTTAAACTTAAAACTTTTTTAGCTTCGCATTTTTTAAAGAACCTGTTAGCACGACTACTCGTAGTACACGGAGTGAGCGTTTTTTTATCGTATATATCTGTATTATAAAAAATCTTGAAGGTTCTAATGTTATTTTCAGAAATGTACTTAATCACAACGACTATATTATTACAATCAAATCAAAGAGATTATAAGCAATAGACGTGACTGCAGCTGATATAACTTCAATATGGATAAAAATATTCATATTTTATTATATGCAAGATGTACTTAATATTTAGTTATACTTGACCAGAACTGTTGTATGAGATTATATATTTCGATTAAATTGTTATAAGAGGATCATGCGTATGTGTTATACATATATATTTTCTTTTTCTTAGGTACAGTATTAAGGGATTGGCAAGATCTACTAAGTTTATCATTTCTACCTTCTAATATAACAAATTAATAAAACTTTAAGCAAATTTTCTCTTGGGACAGATTCTCACAAATATAACTTGCATCTATTTTATTGGTATAGAATACTATTAATATACATATATAATAGTATATAGTACTATTACATCTATTTTATATCAAAATAAATACAAATTTCTAAGATGTTTTATACTTTGTTTTTTTATTATTCTCAGTATTAACGTGTTTAAAAATATTACATTATGTATAAAGCTTTAAAAAAAAGCATACATTGTGATTGTTAATGAATAGGCTTTTGCAACTTCAAACAAATGTGATGAAATCTGTAACAAGAAACGTGCTGTAAGGATAACGAAAAGCAAATAAAAATTAGGAGACTATATAGTGTTCAATAATTGCACTTACTTTACTATGCAAACATGGAATCCACTTTGCACAACTGTATTTCGTAAATTTATTGATTTGTATTGACAATGTCGTCAATTTTCAGTATACTGCGTACGGTCTCAGAAGCAAGAGTAATCGAGCTGGTGGAAACCAACAATGGTTGAATCACATTCTCCTCCAGCATGTTAGTGATGGCGCCTTTCCGGACGTTAATTCCAGCTGTTATTTCACCTTTCACATGTCGATTACGGAGTTCGGTTACTGTAGCTATTGGATTTAAACCAGCATTTTCAGCTAACGTCGAAGGAATTACCTAATAATCATAAATTATAAGATTGTTGAGCATTGTACTGATTATTTTTAGATTGTTATATATCTTTTATAATGCAGTTTAATATTTGCGCTGGTTTGAATATAATATTCTTAAAATAAGACGCAAGAAAAACTGCGGAACGTATTTAATACTAACTTCAAGTGCATTTGCAAAGGCCTTGATGCAGTAGGCATCAATTCCACCTAAAGTTACTGCGTACTCCGCCAATTTCAATGCCAATTCAATCTCTGGTGCACCGCCACCAGCAATCAATGCTCTCTGCTTAACCAAACACCGAATGACGCACAACGCATCGTGCAAGGATCGTCCAGCTTCTTCCAAAACTAATTTGTTGCTACCACGTACAAGAACTGTGACTGTTTTTCCGTGGTTTTGAATTCCTGTGATCTGTAAAAAAAATATCAATTATATAAATAATTTATCGAATGTAATTATCTTCTTATCGAATGTGTATATAAATGAAAGAAATGCAACGATATATTACTAGCTGTAATTATTTTTATCTTTATGTACGACGTGAATTTACCTTAACAAACTTCGAGTTGCCAGTTTGAACTTCTTCGCAGAGCTCTGCATTGACGAGGTTTTCAGCCACAAAGTGATCCAGCGACGCAATTGGCCTGCAACCTAGCGTCTTACATACGAAAGGAATATCCTCGCGTTCCACGTCTTTTATGACCATGACTTTGATTTTATCTAAGAAATGAATTGCGAGATCGCTAATGGAGTCACGCAAGATAGACTTTTGCACAAGAAGTACATTGCAACCAGTTTTCTTGATCTGCTTTACGATGTTCAATATGTAAGCCCGTTCTTCTTTTAGGACACGATCCATGGCTGCATAGTCAGACACAACGACGTTGTGATCCATCTAGAAATACAAAAAATGAATGATCCGTCTGCAAAGATGTAAGTATGATGAATACCATTATATTGTATTATGATACTCACATCAGTTTTTGGCGGCGAAATGCAAAATTGGATTAATCCAATTTTCGCTTTTTCAATACGTCTTGGGCCATTGATGTTACAAGACTTCTGCGTGAATATCAATCCATCCACTAATTCAGTATCTTCAACGGTGCCTCCTAACTTCTTTATTACTTTAATATCCTAAGAAAATAATAAAAATATAGATAAGCAAATTCATAAAATGCAGAATACATGTATAAAGAATTTGTTCTTACATTTAAGTCAACTGACACTTCCCTTCCTTCTTCTGTAACTTTTAATACTGCGTCCACAGCAAGTGGCGCAAGAAGACTAGATTGTTGATGTACAACCTGGAATAATATAATTATAAAATTGAACATTAACGTTATGTATATAATAATTAAAGAACTGTAGAAAGAAGTCAACAGAATTAAAATATGTGTGTAAAATTTAGATATACCTTGGAATTCAATGATGTCGCTGCAACCTTTATAAGAGATTCTTTGTCTGTTAGATCGACAGGTATGGACATATTCATCAAGATTGATACTGCTTTGGACGCTGCTTTTTGGAAAGCGTCACTGATCAAAGTAGGATGAATACCTTTCTGCAATAAGCGTTCTGCTACTTCCAAGAGTGAACCACCTATTACAACGACGCTCGTAGTACCATCACCAGCCTCTATATCCTGAGCCTTAGACAATTCAACGAGCTAAAACACAAAATATTATATATTATCGCATCTGTAAAACTTGACAAAGTTTTAAAAAATGTGAAATTTATTTCTTACCATTTTTGCAGCAGGATGTATTACATTCATCTCTTTCAGGATAGTAGCACCATCATTTGTAATAGTAACCTCCCCATTACTAGCTTGAATCTGTTATTAAGATATATCAATTAATACCTATTATAATTTTAGTAGATAAATTTGAAAATAATGATAAATATAAAAAGTTTACCATCTTATCCATTCCTCTAGGTCCAAGACTCGTGCGTATCGCATCGCTAACAGCTATAAACAAATAACAATCCATATATAAATGATACTAATCGTGATAATCATTATATGAAAAATTGTTATAATTTGTATTTGCTAATAACAATAGATAAGTTCTGAAGATTGCCCAAATGGATGTTCCAAAAACTATTTTTACCAAAACGTAATATCATGACAAAAAATATTTTATTCGTGTGGTGACACGTACTTTCATCTACAACGAAATTCGATTAAATGTACAACACACACGTGGAAAGAGTAATGGGCACCGAACATTACTATATAAGGTAATATTTTGCTCATATGTTACGCGTGCTTTCGACAGCCGATCGAAGTGTGAGAATACGTTATAGGTATTGATGAAGCATGTTAACCTTTAGCAGCATTGATATTGCTGCTGCGAATATCCATGGGTTTGCTTTTATCCTTATAGGCTTGTCCATGAGCTCCGCGGCTTTCGCTGATCTCCATAGGCTTCCTTGTCAGGTTTTTCGTCATGTTGAATTATTATGATTCTTGTATAAGAAAAAAAAACGACGCTGCCTTTTTTGACTAGTTTAGCAGTCAATTCACACAATATCAAGTCGCGATTATTTCACACCCAACAGGAAAATGTTCGCGTGATACAAATGCTCGCTGAAGATGAAGCACATCAGCGTTGTTAGAGGAGCCGGGTTTTTCGCGCATGCGTGAACGTTGACTAATGTTGGATTCACATTACATCCATTGTTTGATGTACACCATTCGATATCCAATAAGAACATTTGTTTTTTGGGAATAAAAAAGCTCCTAGAAAAAACAGTTTTTTATTGGATATCAGCATTTTGCATATTAGACGCAATATGAATTTACCATAACATTATTCTTTCCGGAAAGAACCGACGAGAGGAAATGACGAGCAGTGCGAGGCCATATTGATGATGGCGATACATCGCTAAAGAAAATATAGAATGTTCATTGAGATATCACATTTGCGAAATATTCAAATAATTGCACACTGTTAGGCGATTCATATAAAATAAGATGAGGATGTTCTTTGGAATTTTGTACATAGAAAGTAAAAAATAGAAGGTATAAATTATAAAATTATTGAAGTATACTTTGTTGAAGTATACGATGTTATTTAAAACTATTAGTATGTTTTTAAACAATCTAAGTAAAATTTTGAAATAAGAAACACAACTTTGATTTGCTGAGAAATCAATTAACGTCGCGATATTCATTTAAAAAATTCGTAAGCATTTATATTTCTTGCCGAACGGGGCTCTCGATAAGTTTGGCACCATTTCAGACTAGTGCGTAGATTCGGCCCTGGTCACGTGAAGTATCAACAATCTCTCCCACCCTCTCCAGCCCATGTCGCTGTAGTCAGAAGCACCTGTTGCTCGCCTACCTGTTTTACTCCGCTTCGTCAGTACGTCGCACGACGGTGCGGCGGGTAGTGTTTGGGTTTTTTGCGATAGTCGCGCGCGAGTAAACGTGTTGAGGAAATTGTGTGTTTTGGAGAGTCCAATGACAATCCAATGTCTCGCGTCCGTTTCTTGTCGCAGTAACACGAGAAGTTGGCCGATGTCACACTGCTTTTACCATCGCAATGCACTTCATGTAACGAGGAAACATTGCGCGCGCGCGCGAATGCCTTGCTTTGAAAACGACGCGAAACGGCGGTGAAACGATTGCAAGATCATAACAGAGATCGATTCTCAACGTATTTTCAAGTTTGTGCCCGGTGAACAATTGATACAAGAAGGAGGAGAGAAGAAACAGAAGCGAGGAAGAAAAGTACAGTGGAGTATACAGTGGAACTGGCAGCAAGTGCATCGAGTCGCTTCGTCGCTTCGTCCGGGCGGATCGGTCCACACACGCGAAACTATGCGACCAAATTAACGACACGGCGAAGGAAGCAACAGAGAGTGAGAGAAAGAGAGAAGGAGCGAGAGCGAGTCGCAGAGGCAAGTCGCGGCGAGCAAGAACGCCGCGACCGGTTGAAGCCGTGCGAGAATATGCGCGAGAGGCGGACCTGAGCGCGAGCGAGCCATGGAGGACGTAGCAGCAGCAACAGCGCAGGATACCTGCTTCGGGGCGGGCAGCATAGCCGGAGCCGTGATCGGGACCTTTCTGACGACGATCCTTCTGCTCGCCGTCGCCGGGTTTCTCTACAGGCAGTGGCGCAGACATAAGGGTGAGTTTCGTTCAATTAATATTCCGAGACACAAATCACTTCCTTAACACCAAGGAGAGTCTCGTTCCGGTAAATTTTTTGCAGGTATACGACCGTAAATTCATGCAAATTCCCCAGTTCAAAACCTTGAAAATCTGTAAATATCTTCGTCTTTTATACTTGGAATAAATGCCAAAGATATTCTTCTTCATTCAGAAAGTGTAGAAAGAACTATGTTCAAAATTGCTTTGAATTCACGTAGCAAATTCTTCGTAATTCGTGCATGATCTTCTTCTATCTTTTATTTCTCAATGATAACAATGAGTGCACAGTATTATATATTATGTATACAAGATGACACAAACCTCCGCATGTGAAATTGCACTAATCTGGAGTAACGAGAGGAGCAAGCACACATGATGTTTACGTATTCATGCATATCAATAAAAATATAATTGCAGGTTTTTTAAAAACGATCATGATACATGAATATTTAAACACGATGTGCACATCGGTGTAATTCTTATTGCGTCACTTGAAACTTGAAATGACAAACTGCTAGGAATAGAAATAACTATATACATACGTCACATCATTCGCTTCTCCGTTGAACATAATTTGAACCGACAGAAGTAAAATGCCCGATTTTTATTTCTGCTTTTTCCGATTCGAGGAATAGATATAGAAAAAAATTGAAAAATAAAAGAGATATCAAGTTCGTTGCAAAACAATAAGCCGACGTCAGTCAGACGAGAAATAGAAATAGCAGTGAACACTCTTCACACTTCGATGAATATCAATTCGAGCGTTTATTGATATCATTTTTAAAGATCTTTGTTTATTCTTTCACTTTATATATTATTTTTTTTATTCTGCAAATTATGAATTTGACATGTTGTTTACTTAATTGAAACAAAATATTTATAATAAAATTGTAGTGTTCCGCGTAAATGTAATATTTAATTGAGGGTTGAAATGTTTTGGCATGAAAAATCTGACACCTGTGGTGCTGGAAAAGGAATTGAAAGTAATTTTACATGTCTTGACACTTTCCATATGAATTAGTGGTACAACGAGTCTCGCGATGCAAATTGTACTTTCATCGAGCAATTTAAGCGATCGTTTCAACTGATCATTTCAATGTAATTTCCTTAATGGAAAATGAAATTTTCAGTAGAACTGTCGGAGCAGAACATTTTGTATTCACAGAAAAGTGTTTTTGAGAAATTCTGATTTATAGAATTAATTGAAAAATTCTTCTTTACAGAAGATAAAATAATCTTTTTTAACATCCGAATTTGCAATCCACAATTTTTTATAACAATTTGAATAGAATATTTAATGTTTAGAGGGTGAAACTTGTACGAATAATTAATAATTACTTAATAATGATTTTAAAATGCACTAAACTTCAAGGAGGGCAGACAAAATGATATAATTTCTTTGTTGTACGAACACAATCTGGCTCTTTAATTTTAATTATCGAAATAAAGATTTCGACGGGGTCACCGTATCTCATCAGGAACGCGTTCTCGCAGCGGTTCGTGACAATCGGTCGCATTTTTTATCAGGATTTTTGCATAGTCGCGGCCACGCACGTACGATTTGGTCGGTGAAAGTAATTTAACACGTTGCGAGTGCCGCGGCGAATACCGGTATCTGTCACAATGTTTGATCGCAGGCGAAATTCCAATGTTACACATGTATGTACACGAATATCAATTCGAGCTATTTCGTCAAACTCACTTTCGTTTAAGGCTATTACGTGTCGTTTTCGCTAACTACATATCAAGATTTGCACTCGGAATTTCTCCAGAATCTCTTTAGAATCTTCGCGTGTTATATTGAAGAAAATAAAAAACTCTCATTCTCAATTTTAATTTATATTAATTTTATTCGTATTTGTTTGACACCTGGTGGCGTGAAATCTACACAACTTACTTCTTGAGGAATATATTATTTCTGCGAGACTAAAGACTGTTAGAGTTAACAGTCTCGGCAGAGGCAGAGGAGAATAAAGTGCATACTCTTAGAGAGGAAATACCTTTGCCATTGTAATAGCGGCGGTAACAGCGTCCGGCGCGTGTAAAACGTTAGTTCCCCAGCGAATTCCTTCGTAGGAACGGTGTATCACACATCGTGAGTGTTCGCGAATCACGACAGGATTTACGTAGCTAAGGAGAAACGCGGAAGCAACACGTGTAACCTTTCCTACCTGTCCTCATCTTCGACGCGACGCGAACCTTTGATATCTGTTCCCGCCGAATATCTCGTTAATAGAAATTGTTTTTTTTGTTGGCGTCGCAATAGTAAATACTTGAGATATCTTGACGATGTGGACTTTGAAAATTAGCAAATGGATCAATCGTACTTAAACTTTGAAGTCTGTACTCTGTACAACATATTTTTATTCACTTCTAATCTCTTAACGATCTTTTTGCGCAAAATTATTTTTCCATCATTTTCTGGCTGAAAAAAATGTTATCCGCGATTTTGTATCTAGGTCTAAAAGTTTTTCAGACGAAATTAAGCTGGGGGACACTAATGTAGGCTATTTCAATCAGTGATTCTATTGATAAGTGATGGATTTGTCCACTCGAGTGGTGAAACGCGCGTTCTATTATCGGATAAGAGCCTGCGGCGCGCTTCAATACGGCCTCTAATCCTTCTCGCGCATTGTAACTTATCGTTTAAATAATACTAGCGATCTCTTAAAGCCTATACTTATCGCGCTGTTAGAAACTGTATGCTCTTTTTTGCTTCAAATCAATTTTGTAAGTTTACAAACGAGCCTATCACAATTAGAGTCGAACTTTGACGTTTACATACACACACACAATTTTATTCATTGGAGAATTAATTTATTGCAGGCGCAAATTACGACGATTAATGTTTATTGCGAGAAAGAAGTATTCTGTTATTGAGTTTTTTAAATTTTATTTTTATGCAACTTAGAAACTATATCAACATAATTTATATATTTTGCATACATCTACGTTATTATATTAATAATTCTATTTTTCTCTTATTATATAAATTTTTATTCTCCACTGGTATTTGTATTCTCCGACATTTGTCAGAAAAGTCGTTGAGTTACGCAGGAATGTAATAGAGGAGTCCCTTTTTCCACTTTCCCCGGCTTAATGCTATACCGCTTCTTGTGCAATCCCCGACGCAATAACTCATCCATAACGCGAAATCACCTCGACGACGCGTCACGAGAGCGACAGTTGCACCGCGACGCGAATAAGTCCGAGTAAGTAATTCACACTGCAGTGCAAGTTGTAAATGTCACCGCGCACACGTTGCCAGGGCAGCAGGCGTCACATCGTCGTGAAAACAAGGCCCATCTCGAGGCCCGTCTCCGATCCTCTCGACGCGACGCGGCTCGAAGGCCGTGTCTTTTAACCGCGGGCGCTCCGCTCCGGAGAGAAAATCGTTTCCTACGCGGCGATTATGCGAAATGTCGAAATGACCCGAGTTATGCCGTAGTCCGCGTTTCGATCCTGCGGCGCGCGGTCTTCCCCGAACGGTATTTTCCTCGCGATCTCGACGATCACGAAAGCGCGGGAGTTCCGCGAACAGTTTTTTTTTTTATGAATAATTAATGACCACAGATTGACGACGCCGGCGGATTCTAAACAGACCTCACCTCTCGAAATAACAGCGTTCGTTTAATCGAATCGGACGAAAAGTTTCATCTGATTTGTATGCAAGACATAATTAAAAGACGAGAAACGCAAATAACGTGTTACACGCTAAATCGCGCTTCACCTTTTCAACACCGAGGTTTTCAATCGGGGTTTTAATTCACGATACACGAACTTGGTATCCGCCGCTGGTCGCCGGCACGTCAGCTTCTACCTTCGGGCGGTTTAGCTTAAAAAGCCGATCGGCCGAGCGGCGCGACCGTCTTATACCGGTTTTCGAGCGAAAACGCGGATCATCCCGGTCCATCCGGCTGTAGGTCGAGAAAGGCCGATCTCAGGGGCACCCATTAATGGGTAGCATTGTACGCATTGGACAGCACGCGATACAAGCGCGCGTGCGCGCGCGCGCACGGTTAGGTATTCGTGGACCGCCGATAGACACAGGCTCGCAAAACCGGCGCGAAGGTCTTTAGAAAGTGTGTGCACGGCTCTCTTCGGGGCTCCTACTCGGGTCGTTGTATCTGATACCCACCATACGCAGGCATGCATACGCATACCGTATCGCGTACCCATATGGGTGCTTGCAAATGGCTTGCGCATGTACGGCGCGCGTCGAATCGCGACTTAAGACTGTATCATACTCCGGAGATGCTTAAACAAGATGCTCTTAATTCTTCATCGGAACGACGAAGACGCCATGCGTGATTGAAGCAAATGTGTTCCGTGAACTTATTCTTCCTTTTCAGAAGTACGAATTTTTTCAAAGCACAATCGATTCTAGGCAAACCGATTGAAATGTTTAAAACGGGATAAAATTTTAATTTCATAAATTTAAACAACAACGAGTATCTTTTACGAGTCTAGACGCATACATATAACATATTATGCAATATACACATTACCAGAAATAAAAAAAAAATATATAATATATATGTCCGATGTGACGAATGTTTTGAGAGGATTAATTCTCCGTTCGTTATCTTCGACTTTTATTCCATACGTTTTCATCATTTTTGCCAATCGATCGCGATTGTTGCCAGCGTGATGCGGCCTTTATTCCTCTCGAGCGTAATCTCCGCATGCACACCTGTGTCTCACAGGAATACGCGCGATTTCAGCGTTCGTAGTGGTCGCGCGTGTAACCGGCCGGTTCTCCCGCGGTAATAAATTACTTTCACGAAGCCATTCCGACGCGGTGTCGCGGGAATCGGATCGCATGATCCGGACGACGCTCCGATATGTGTATGTATATGCTTTAGCCGCCTATCGTATCGTAAAGTCCTATTGCGAAAGAACAATCCCGCGCATAAATTCCACTTTAAATAGAGAAATTTAGAATACGTTGTCTGGGAGAACAAAAGCAGCGAAACT